CAGACAGAATAAATACAAACATGTACAGTTACAAATGTATAGAAACAACAACATGGACAGACAGAATAAATACAAACATGTACAGTTACAAATGTATAGAAACAACAACATGGACAGACAGAATAAATACAAACATGTACAGTTACAAATGTATAGAAACAACAACATGGACAGACAGAATAAATACAAACATGTACAGTTACAAATGTATAGAAACAACAACATGGACAGACAGAATAAATACAAACATGTACAGTTACAAATGTATAGAAACAACAACATGGACAGACAGAATAAATACAAACATGTACAGTTACAAATGTATAGAAACAACAACATGGACAGACAGAATAAATACAAACATGTACAGTTACAAATGTATAGAAACAACAACATGGACAGACAGAATAAATACAAACATGTACAGTTACAAATGTATAGAAACAACAACATGGACAGACAGAATAAATACAAACATGTACAGTTACAAATGTATAGAAACAACAACATGGACAGACAGAATAAATACAAACATGTACAGTTACAAATGTATAGAAACAACAACATGGACAGACAGAATAAATACAAACATGTACAGTTACAAATGTATAGAAACAACAACATGGACAGACAGAATAAATACAAACATGTACAGTTACAAATGTATAGAAACAACAACATGGACAGACAGAATAAATACAAACATGTACAGTTACAAATGTATAGAAACAACAACATGGACAGACAGAATAAATACAAACATGTACAGTTACAAATGTATAGAAACAACAACATGGACAGACAGAATAAATACAAACATGTACAGTTACAAATGTATAGAAACAACAACATGGACAGACAGAATAAATACAAACATGTACAGTTACAAATGTATAGAAACAACAACATGGACAGACAGAATAAATACAAACATGTACAGTTACAAATGTATAGAAACAACAACATGGACAGACAGAATAAATACAAACATGTACAGTTACAAATGTATAGAAACAACAACATGGACAGACAGAATAAATACAAACATGTACAGTTACAAATGTATAGAAACAACAACATGGACAGACAGAATAAATACAAACATGTACAGTTACAAATGTATAGAAACAACAACATGGACAGACAGAATAAATACAAACATGTACAGTTACAAATGTATAGAAACAACAACATGGACAGACAGAATAAATACAAACATGTACAGTTACAAATGTATAGAAACAACAACATGGACAGACAGAATAAATACAAACATGTACAGTTACAAATGTATAGAAACAACAACATGGACAGACAGAATAAATACAAACATGTACAGTTACAAATGTATAGAAACAACAACATGGACAGACAGAATAAATACAAACATGTACAGTTACAAATGTATAGAAACAACAACATGGACAGACAGAATAAATACAAACATGTACAGTTACAAATGTATAGAAACAACAACATGGACAGACAGAATAAATACAAACATGTACAGTTACAAATGTATAGAAACAACAACATGGACAGACAGAATAAATACAAACATGTACAGTTACAAATGTATAGAAACAACAACATGGACAGACAGAATAAATACAAACATGTACAGTTACAAATGTATAGAAACAACAACATGGACAGACAGAATAAATACAAACATGTACAGTTACAAATGTATAGAAACAACAACATGGACAGACAGAATAAATACAAACATGTACAGTTACAAATGTATAGAAACAACAACATGGACAGACAGAATAAATACAAACATGTACAGTTACAAATGTATAGAAACAACAACATGGACAGACAGAATAAATACAAACATGTACAGTTACAAATGTATAGAAACAACAACATGGACAGACAGAATAAATACAAACATGTACAGTTACAAATGTATAGAAACAACAACATGGACAGACAGAATAAATACAAACATGTACAGTTACAAATGTATAGAAACAACAACATGGACAGACAGAATAAATACAAACATGTACAGTTACAAATGTATAGAAACAACAACATGGACAGACAGAATAAATACAAACATGTACAGTTACAAATGTATAGAAACAACAACATGGACAGACAGAATAAATACAAACATGTACAGTTACAAATGTATAGAAACAACAACATGGACAGACAGAATAAATACAAACATGTACAGTTACAAATGTATAGAAACAACAACATGGACAGACAGAATAAATACAAACATGTACAGTTACAAATGTATAGAAACAACAACATGGACAGACAGAATAAATACAAACATGTACAGTTACAAATGTATAGAAACAACAACATGGACAGACAGAATAAATACAAACATGTACAGTTACAAATGTATAGAAACAACAACATGGACAGACAGAATAAATACAAACATGTACAGTTACAAATGTATAGAAACAACAACATGGACAGACAGAATAAATACAAACATGTACAGTTACAAATGTATAGAAACAACAACATGGACAGACAGAATAAATACAAACATGTACAGTTACAAATGTATAGAAACAACAACATGGACAGACAGAATAAATACAAACATGTACAGTTACAAATGTATAGAAACAACAACATGGACAGACAGAATAAATACAAACATGTACAGTTACAAATGTATAGAAACAACAACATGGACAGACAGAATAAATACAAACATGTACAGTTACAAATGTATAGAAACAACAACATGGACAGACAGAATAAATACAAACATGTACAGTTACAAATGTATAGAAACAACAACATGGACAGACAGAATAAATACAAACATGTACAGTTACAAATGTATAGAAACAACAACATGGACAGACAGAATAAATACAAACATGTACAGTTACAAATGTATAGAAACAACAACATGGACAGACAGAATAAATACAAACATGTACAGTTACAAATGTATAGAAACAACAACATGGACAGACAGAATAAATACAAACATGTACAGTTACAAATGTATAGAAACAACAACATGGACAGACAGAATAAATACAAACATGTACAGTTACAAATGTATAGAAACAACAACATGGACAGACAGAATAAATACAAACATGTACAGTTACAAATGTATAGAAACAACAACATGGACAGACAGAATAAATACAAACATGTACAGTTACAAATGTATAGAAACAACAACATGGACAGACAGAATAAATACAAACATGTACAGTTACAAATGTATAGAAACAACAACATGGACAGACAGAATAAATACAAACATGTACAGTTACAAATGTATAGAAACAACAACATGGACAGACAGAATAAATACAAACATGTACAGTTACAAATGTATAGAAACAACAACATGGACAGACAGAATAAATACAAACATGTACAGTTACAAATGTATAGAAACAACAACATGGACAGACAGAATAAATACAAACATGTACAGTTACAAATGTATAGAAACAACAACATGGACAGACAGAATAAATACAAACATGTACAGTTACAAATGTATAGAAACAACAACATGGACAGACAGAATAAATACAAACATGTACAGTTACAAATGTATAGAAACAACAACATGGACAGACAGAATAAATACAAACATGTACAGTTACAAATGTATAGAAACAACAACATGGACAGACAGAATAAATACAAACATGTACAGTTACAAATGTATAGAAACAACAACATGGACAGACAGAATAAATACAAACATGTACAGTTACAAATGTATAGAAACAACAACATGGACAGACAGAATAAATACAAACATGTACAGTTACAAATGTATAGAAACAACAACATGGACAGACAGAATAAATACAAACATGTACAGTTACAAATGTATAGAAACAACAACATGGACAGACAGAATAAATACAAACATGTACAGTTACAAATGTATAGAAACAACAACATGGACAGACAGAATAAATACAAACATGTACAGTTACAAATGTATAGAAACAACAACATGGACAGACAGAATAAATACAAACATGTACAGTTACAAATGTATAGAAACAACAACACTAACAAATACAGTGATGGGAAAACATTATACAGACACAAAGAAATAACACATATTGAACAATTCAATCATAATACATATAAACACAAATAATATCAGTGACAAGGACAACTTAGTCAAAAACATTGATATATGCAGACACATACAGTAATAACATAAAAATACAGTGTAATAATAAATACTAACATGTACAATAATTAAAATGAGTAGAAAGATACAGTGACAACATAAACATGCACAGTGATTAAAATGAATAGAAAACAAGGCAGCAAAGCTGAAAAACAGAAAATAAATATGCAGAAAATAAGGCATTTTGTCAATTTTGATGCAATAATAAATAATTATGGAATAACAGCACAGTCTATCAACAGGTAACATGGTCAATACAATTACAGTTTCAGGACCATGAGAGTTCAAATTCACATAACGAAAATCGTGTACTATATAGGTAACATGGACATAGAAAAGCTAGCATGTGATTCAGTTTCATGGACTGTAAAAGCCACATGTACTTGATCAAAAACGGAACATTTCTCAACTGGGTTACAAATGTAAGTCTGATATTGTGATAAATTTGAAACACACCCCAACAATTGTTGTTCATTTTCATTATTCTTTATTTCATGGATATTTTGTTTCAGTAGGTGATACAAACTAGTTATAAACTGTAGGACTACTTAACGACTTAAGCTGTCCAATTGCAGTAATTGAGACTGACTAATTCCCGCAATTGTGTCCAGATAATACATGTAGATCATGAAGTGGTTGATAAGCCCATCTTCAGATTCCACCAACTGCATAGGTAATCAACGAACCTCTTCTTTATAGTATACAAGTTTATCGCTCGTAAATAGGGCAATAAAGCAATAAAAGCGCCCTGAATTACAGTGCAGCCCCTTCAACTTTATCATCGTAAAACTTCATAACTTAGATAGCCTCGTGAGCAGTTAGTATGTGATAGGCCTCTGTATTATAACCTGTACTATTAAGTGTGCACACAAATGGAAGCTCAAACTACGCTTTTCTTTTTCGTCCTGGTCTCCATTTTCTGGTTTCACCAGGGCTGTCTCCGTGTGGGCTTTATTACAAATTGGCAAAGCATTCCGTATGTTGTCAGGGACCACGGCAGCAATTCACGCGTGACATTCCCAGATCAGTCAGAACGTATTCTTACTGCGACAGTCAACCAGACCAAGGAATCGCACGCTACCCGCATAATTCGTACTGATTCACCTTTCAACACATCTGGACACTTACATGGAGACCATACGCTCGATTATTGGACGGAAAGTGAAAAAACCCCAAAGATTGGGAACAAAACATTTTTTGTTATTTGGAACGTCCCTTCTTTAAAGTGCGTACAATATGGAATAGACTTGAATCTATCACATTATAATATAACATCAAACAGCAATATGGAATGGAATGGAAATATTATAAATATATTCTATGAGGACGAACTTGGTTATTATCCAAAGATATTGGAAAACCGATCAAGAGTCCATGGCGGCTTACCGCAGGTAGTATTACATATAAATTTGCCCCCCTATATCAAAAATGTATTTAACATATCAACTCTTTCATCTCTTCACGGGGTTGAACTCTCACATTGAAAAAAATGCTGAGTTGATAGATATCTCTGAAATTATGTCTCTTCTACACGCAATTTACACTTTAAGGATATTGTACAACCCTTTATTATCATCCAGATACCGAAAATGAGGTTTTTCCTGCATCTAATTATTCAATAATGCATCTATCTTTGCGCTGAATTAAAACAAAGAAAAAACCCTAGCAAATATAAAACACGGTGTTTATATTTCGTTGCAATGTATAAGCATAGGCAACTCAAAGTTTTAATCGACAATCGAACACCTTGCTATTTTGAGGTGAGATACACAACTGTAGCAATCGGTATATATGGGGCGTAACTTTGTTATCCAAATGAATGTATGCAAGGCAGTTAATAAGTTTTGGGCGAAGGGTGACAATATCCTTAAGTTATTTTAATAATTAAAATACTAACAAAAAAGGACTGCGCTAAAGGAGTATTACGAGAAGCACGTTTATTTTACTGACACATTTTGTCCTCAACGTCAAGTACATTTCACAATGCTCATGAAAATGTTTTAAGTATTCCACGCATAGCTTGCGTTCTAGGGGACTCTTGCTGAATGCAGTCAGATTAACTGAATGGCACACTTCGAGCAGCTACATGTACATGTAGTTGGTGTTTGGGTGTGGTCGGCTCATGCCTTGGTTAAAATCTTTCTTATCAAAATAACACCATCCAAGACTGGGCCCCTAACGACGTTTGTTTTGACAGCGCACCTTGCTAAAAACCTTCAGATAGCTTCGGTACGCTAGGGCTACTCCGTCTTCTAAAGGTGCTCCGATGCCTTCCTACATGACTGGACGTGTACACATGTACATAGTTGTATTAAGTATGTCCTTCACATCACTTCTGAGAGTTGAAATCTCTCAACAATGTGTCTGAAAGTATGGAGGTACATACATCAGAACATGCACTGAGACCAATACATATGTTTTAGTTACATAGCATTGAGTTTAGGATAGGAAATCCAATGAGAAATTAAAAAAAATCTGGAAGAGACTAACCGTTATGCAATTGATCTATTTTCAGCTTGTTGACATCGAGAAACACTTAAAAAAGTGCATAGCTGACATTAAAGTATCTATCCCAAGTCCAGATTTCAGCGGGCTTGCTGTCATAGATTGGGAGTCGTGGGTTCCCACTTGGGAGAGATTATGGGATACGAGATTAATCTATAAGAATGCATCTTTAGATCTGGTACGAAGCAGACATCCCGACTGGAATGAAACCACAGTAGAATCAGAGGCGAAAAGAGAGTGGCAATCTGCCGCAAAGTGGGTTTTCTTTTTTCTTTTCTTTTTATATTAAAAATTTTAATAAACACTCCCATTCTTTGAAGAAACAAAGCCAGTAATGTCAATTTTGAATCAAATTTTATCTATTTGACAATTTTATAAAATGTGAACGATAAAGTTTTTATATTTGGAAGGAGATTAATGTTAAGCACTCTGCAAGTGGCTCTTGCCGTGAGACCCAAGGCGCGTTGGGGTTTTTACCTGTACCCAGACTGTTACAATTACAATGGTCCACAGATACACGACTGCACAGATATTGTGAAAGAAAGAAATAACGAGTACGTATCATAGATACAGCCTTCTTAGCTACCTCCAGATATTTATCCTGTCTCTTTCTCCCATTGTCTCCCTCTTTCTGCATAATTTTGTCGTTTTCAAATAATTAGCAGGCTTTAATACATGTGTTGAGATACTCATTAAAATTTCTACATTATTGTGTCAGAACAATTTATGCAGTGCAGTATACTAATGCGTGAAAACAGAATTGCTGAAACCAGCAGTACGTAGACAGTATCTTAATAAACATCGTTATATTCAATGTAATTAATCTTATTGTGAAATTCACTTTTAAAACCATCCATGCGCTTTCAACAAATTATAAATAAAACTTATTTTTGTGAACATTCAAGTATAACAATTTACTTACGAACGGTTAATTTTTAACAGGCTTGAATGGCTTTTCAAGGAAAGCACAGTCTTACTCCCATCAGCTTATCTTGACTCAAAATACGATATTAAATGGAAGACGGCATTTGTGCGCCACAAGATACAAGAGGCACTACGCATACGTCAGTACGTCGGCTTAAGTCCAAGGGCCATGCCGGTATTTCTGTACAGTAGATTCAGGCACCCTGACACACTCACGTGGTACTCTTTGGTAAGATATTGCAATTAATGTATCTTTATTGCAAAAAATAAATCGCTTAACCTAACATTCTCAGACAAAATTTTTACCAAGTTCTTCAACAATAATTTGAAAATATGTTTAACAGTGTCGTTCATTTGTATAGTATATGTCCATGCGGTATTCTATTTGTTTTTAGATAGAATTGAATGCCACTATTGCTCAGTCGAAATCACTAGGCACAGATGGGATCGTGTTGTGGGACGACCATCTGGTAACGGACACCCGGGAACATTGCTCATTACTCCAGCGCTATGTGACCACCACACTGGGGCCTTTGGTTCAGAAGATACTGAACAACAGCTAAGGCATCATAACTAGAACAAAATGATCGCCAGGGGCGCAGGGCAAGGATTGTTTGTGTTCCCACTTCTCACAGTAAAGTGCAAAGAATGGAAATCATTTTAAAGCCACACAATTTGAACGTTTTTGTACTTGTTCTTAAACCCACCAATAACGCAACTACCATGCTCATGAAGCTTAATGAGCGTCTTACCAGTCTGTAATGAAGTACGTACTTTACGTTGAGTCGACATGGTTTTGTTTCTCTTCCACGTGTCGAACAACTTTGCTTTTTTTTCATCGCGTTAATTGCGCAGGGCTAGCTTACTTTTACAATTTCCAAAACCCATAAAAAATGAACGATGCCCGTGAAACAAGAAAGCATTAAGTCCATCGTCAGTGTTAAATTGGCTTTGTACAGTATATCAATCTGAAGAACGAAACCAGGCAGTTAACATGTCCAGTTGAAATCCAACAGGTGGAACAATACTGATATAAACAAAACATTTGAAGATGTCTATTCCCTTTGTATTGATTCTATCAAAATAACATACCTGTGATGACTTTCGGGCACTATCTAATATAAATATAGATTAAATATAAATTATTTAAATAAATCAATAACTGTTTTATTGCATCACTTTCCAGTTTTCTGTTGTATTTTTTAGAAATGTTTATAATTATATAATCTAAAATTAGCAGCTAGTTTCATTGTTTTGAGAAAACCTCAGAACCGACAAAGGGCGTTTCCAACCCACCCCACCCCACCCCCTAAAAAAAGAAAAGAAAAGAAAAACACAGTCGTTCACATCATCGAGAAGAATGCAGACAGGAATGAAAGAAAACTGAGAGTGCACATATGAATACTGCGGTTACAAGAGGAGGGTCTGAGCCTTGGCTACCCTGGCCAAATATCCTCAGCTTGCTGAAATTCTTGGAAACTTTAGTTTAATTTAGATTTTTAAGCCGGGAGAGAAGCACGTTTTAGTCCACAGAAGGGAAACCTATTCGTTAAGATATTAGTTATTACATAATGCGGAAGTAAAACAAAGCTACGAAATTAACGATTAACTCTTAGCCACCCTATGGGCAGAAATGGAACAGGGGGAGGCTATTCGCAAAATAGAAGCCTTTATAACGAAAGAATAAGGGGGAAAGCATTAAATTCTCACAGAGGCTGAGCGTTTATATGTACTAGACGATACAATTTTCTTCAATACAATTTGCATAATAGAGAAATTTAATGTAGAATATCCATTTTTTTTCCTTGTAAGACCAAAACTAGTCCGGACGTTACTTTCATGAACGGAACACAAGGGAAATTAGGACAACTGACATACTTAAGAGAATACACAAACTGTGTGTTATGAAAATTAATGGGTGACTTGCTTCAATGACGTGAATTCCTAAAAAGAAATGTATCGTATGCAGGGACGTGTAGTAGTTAGATGTACTACATAGACTAACAGTAGTACATGATGATACTTTTCATATTCACTGTAAATTAAATTCACATAAGTTGATGAAGACAAATGCTATGTAGTGAACCAGCATGTAGCTGCCACTGAAGTATAACGTATGAAAATGAATAGCAATTTGTTCTTTTAAGAAAAAATATTATCATTAACTGATTCTAATTTTTTTCTGAACGCATTTAGTAGATACCCACTGAATAAATACCGACAGTTCACGAGCAGGGCCTAATATTGATTTGAGTATGTAAGTCAGAGAAATTTCATCAGCTGTGTTAAGTTATAAGAATGATGTGATTTTTTCTTCAGTCAACAGCTAATATTGAGATAGGTTTTACCTCCAATATTACGATGTCTATCAGGACATCTTCTTCATTCCCTGAAGAAGATGTCCTGATAGACATCGAAATATTAGCTGTTGACTGAAGAAAAAAATCAGATCATTGATTTGAGTATATTTTCTAATTCTCTGATTTAGTCACTTCTTCATTCGGACTCATTGAAAATAAGTGTATGTAGTACAAACATGTCGAGTTAAGATAAAGTTTTGGCACTTATGAGAAGTGATAAGAGAAAATAAGCAAGTGAGCTCCCTCTATCGATCATTGCTGTCTCCACAAGCACAATGTAATGAAATTTGTGGACCCCGTCACAATCATGTTGTGAAAGAGCCCTAAGAGCAAATATTGCAGCCCAAGTCTGTTATAACTAATTTTCGTTCATTGCAGTATTTTATCGTATTATCAATTTTGAAAATAACTATGTACGCGCAATTCTACTAATTTTACAATCTTTTTTGACAAACGGGTGAATTGTTTTGCCTTCACTTTTTTATTTCTATTCTATGCAACTCGCTCTCGCGCAGCTATAAATATGGTGTCTGGCACTCATTGATCATAGTAAGAATTCCAGACTTGTTACGGGTCACTTATTATATACCCTCAGCTCCACTTGAATATTAATTTTAAAACTTGCTCCTAGACTTGATTACTTGCATCTACAATCCAGGCGTTGACGGTTACTTTCTTTACTCTGTTTAGTTTGATGTGTAATAATATATGTACACCTTTACTAATTTGTCGTACCCATAGTTCGCGGTTATTTAAATTGTCCAAACCCTATGCTAGTTACTATATTCTTCTTCTCTTCCACATGTAAAAATCTAGATACAACATTTTGCAAAATGTGCTTTACTTATTTATTTATAATATATTAATATACAGACTTGACATTTAAGATGGAATATAATTTCCTAGCAAAAAAAAGCACCCCAAGTGCAATCATGTACATTGCAACAAGGGTCCCACCGTTTTTATTTTACTAGTTAATATATAACAACTACATTAAGGATGTGTAGGATATCCGCGGAAATGGATAACTGACGGATAACTGAGCAAGCAAAAATTATCTCATACTATCTTTAACCGTATAAGGACGTACGCCAGAACTCCACAAACATTACAGAACTTTTTGACTCCACGCACAGGTGCGACAGATGAGTCCTCCAATCCAGAGGATACTGTACAAAATACTAAAATGTGGCTTGCATTTTTAGACTATGGTTAGTTAAATCATTGGTTGAACAATCTGTAAGTTTATGTGAAAGTTTTCGTTTATAAGTTGAAAATAGAAAATTGGTTCATGACATGATTTTTATATCAATTTACCATAGCGTTAGGGGTGACACTTTTTGCTAGGGGAGTATATATCAGTTTAAAGACCATGTCTAGGTAAAATGTATTTTTAAACTTGTTACTCACATAAGATATATGAATAGAGAAATTTGTAGTCAGGTATATCAGACGTGTTACATAATATGTTACGTAATATGTGGTGATTTCATTGGGTAGTAGAAGCAGTTTCCTTTGGGGTGGTCCTAGCATGGATAAAACAGAGTTGGGTTCTGTCAAATATGTCTTCATATTTTGAAAACCGCTGCAGAGAAAGTTTTAAAAATTTGCTAACAAATGAACCGTTTGTAACCTCATTGTTGCTCCGCGTCCGACTGATACGAAGCAGCTAGACATTGCTAGACGGATTATTGTGTCACGAGGAACAGTCTGCAGTCTTACAAGTACAGGTATGCCCGAACCGGTGTGCCTACGCAGAGGCCCGGACCAAGGCATCCCAGACTTTTCACCAGGAAAAGCAGAAGTTGAGCTGTATGGCCGGGAGTGCAATGTGAAAAATGCGTTTTAAGAGACAAAGCGCAATATTTTAATACACGTTTTTTTACTTACAAGTAGATAAATCACATCTTGTTAAAAATATCTAAGAACAGCTTTATGATCTTTTTTACAGGTAAATGCCATCATTAAATGTTGCCAAAATAATTTGAAATATCAAACCTCGCCACCTGTTTAACATCTTGACACAGTTTTGATTCACGCTCAACCAGGAACTCAGTGCTTAAAGTGATGACGGCCATTGAAAAACCCGACCACGCTATAAAAGAATTGCTTATTTCCAAGATTGTAGCACATTTATGGCAACTGTCGGGATAGGTGGATCAAATGTTGATTAGACAAATGTCGTTTACTCCAGGTAGTCTAAAGAGAAATTCTTCATAAGTGTTAGTTTTCTCGGAGAATTCCTACGTTTGGCACCTTGGATACATTATACAGTCCACACGGCTTTGAAGTGGATATGGTGTATATGACATGCCTCTAACACAGTTCCAGACCACAATTGTATCCAAATATCACAGAAAATTAAAAGACGGGAAAAGCAACAAAATAACTATAATAATTAAATACTTCAAATACCGACAACCTTCTTTCTGAAAGACATCATGCACATGTGTGCTTGTAGATCTGTAGTCTCAGAACACATAATATTGTGCCAACAGGCGGTGATATCAGTACTCATTAAAATAACATCTAATTAGCTGACTATTGTAAAGCTGCAGGCTAAAACCTGCATAAACAATGGCCATCAAGTTTCTTTGGTCTTCAACTAATTCCCCTAGATGTCTCTGAAGTTGAAGATTGTCGTGAAAGCCGTCTCATTTTTAATGAACTTCTGATATGGTAACACGTAACGAAATTTGCATTGAACATGTTCTTGTATATGTGAAGCACTATAGAGATATCAATATGGAATATTAAAAGCTTAACATTAATAAACCGGCAGCATTCCACATTCAGCCACTACATAGTCGCATTTTAAAATGCTTTACATTGTGTTAGACACATATGATGAAAATAATGATTTACCGATCTCCTTTATAATGAATTAAATTTCACCACGGTATCTTCACACCTACAATAATTTACATGTGAATACTCAATATTACATATCAGCACATCGATCTTAGACAAACAAATTCCTTGTTTTGTTTGATATCAACACGACCGTGATGAACATGCCAAGCATCAAGTTCACATTTTCAGGTAATCAATGTTCTGCACGGTATTATTCTGGTACGTTTTGAAAAGCCAACATATATCAGTGTTTTAACCTACTTCACATACTCATGTAAATTGACAAAAAAATGTTATTCACATAGCACATACTAGCGTGTTGTTCAATATACATATATTACCAATTTATGTACCCCCGTTACGTGATTCAGCTCAAGTATAAAGTAGCACGACAATGTGTTAGAATATTTTCATCACGATTTCCTTTTTTTATTTCTTTTCACTCTTTAGCTTGCCTTCTGGGCGCCCAAGCGTTTCGTTTTTTACATTTGGTTTTTGAACTTGGATAGTTCACACAGTGAGCTCAAATGTTGACCCGCTCAGCATTAGGTCGCCACGAGAATGCTGTCGAAGGATATTTCTCTGCATCTCTAGCACGTTATTATAGCTGGCTTGAAGGCGTGTACATTGGTCTGCCAACTTTTCCCGTAAATTTCCGAGAGTTTTAAGCAACATCTCTTTCCGGTGGAGTGTGATTTGCCTCTGGAAGCGCATGCGCTGTTCAAGACGAAGCTGCTCCTCTTCCTGGGCCTCTCTTATTTTCTCTTCAATGATGCGTCTACCGGCCTTCAAACGCCTCACTTTTTCTTGTAGGCTCTCTTTTGTATCGGTACGAAAACTTTCTTTACTCTTATTCACCAGCGACGCTGTACAATTATCTCGATCCAAAGCGGGTTCATTAATACAACAGTCATCTGAAAGATTTAATTTCGACGGATAATCGATTTCAGTCTTGATCTCGATTTTAGCAGCTGCAATGGCGTCTTTGCAGATATCCTCGACAAGTTGATCGTAGTAACTCCCATGCATCCTTGCAGGGGTCGCCAGCAGTTGGCCTTTCTCCACGGTTACAGCACCATGTTCCTCTTGTTGGTTATCACAGGTCTCAGACCTGTCAGTTTTATCTTCAAAATCGCGGCCTGTTGCCGTTTGAAAGAGAAACTCATCTGTACACTCATCAGCAAAAATGTCCACTCCTGACTCCAGGAAGTCGTCACTTAGACTGCCCTCTTCATCCATGACACACTGGTCGAAAGAAAAGCCGCTCTCCGAGGTCACCAATTCGATGTTCTTTTCAAACAATTCCTCATAGTTTATATCTTCTTCATCATCATTGGGAATGAGACTCTGAAACTGAATCAGGAGATCTGGTTCTTCTTCTTCTTGTTGTACGCTCTGTCCTGCTTCAGTGCGAATGTATATGTCTGGTGCTTGAGATAAAGCTGATAGGCGACTTTCATTTGTGTCACAGATTGTATCTGGTGTTTGTACGGCATCTGACAAACATATTGCCTCTAGGGGCTTCACGTCTGAAGGTGATAATGCTGGTGCTTGCCTGGTCACTGGCTCGCAGCCATCAGACATGGTGGAACTGACCAAAGAACTCACATCACTTCCAGTCATAGAGAACCGCCCGCTATCAGAGGTCATCGACGTCATAATTGAGCTGTCAAGCGACGGCATTTCACCACAAAGATGATCTGTGGGGAAATAATCCTTCGTTTTAGATAGCTCTTTGGATTCCTCGTTACACTCACCCGAAGTTGAGCTTGGCTCTTCTAGTGCAGAATCTTCCAGTGCTGCTTGGCTGCCGTCGGCCGGAGATGAGACAGTGGATGACGTCGTGCGCGTTGACCCTGGTGATGTACTGGGCGATGACCTAGGAGACGGTAACCAAGGGTTCGTCTTAATTCTTGGCCTAACTCTGGGAAGTGTATTGTAATTATTATCTGTCCAACTGGAAGTAAGATCAAAGTCCGCAGGACAGTTTTCTGCGTTTTTGTCGTGCAATGGCGGGAAATTGTGCTCGTCTATGATCACATGCTTATAGCATGCGCATTTGCTCTGGCGTTCACCGAAGTTTAAATTTACAAAAAGTGGATCGCTGTAATTGCGTGCCACGTCCTTGTTATCAAGTTCACTTCCTGCAACATATTTATTGATGTGTACCGATAGCGCCACCTGTGGTCCGTTTTGCTGTATGTTATGTGGGTCTGCCGTGGGTTGCACTTGTGTCAGCTCCTGGGCAGAAGATAAAGACTGCTGTTTGCGTTTCGATTTTCCCCTGGCACGTGGTAATGTATTGGCCATAAACTGCTTGAGTTTCATGGTGGCAGCAGATGCACCTCTTTAGGCCACAGGATGTTCAGCGGTACGGGAGTCGTCTGAAAAATAAAACAGAAAGTTTAGATTAAATTATCCATTTTTATTACTGACCAAATTTTTCATGGGTTACGTTGGTCTTGGAGCTGGTCTTAAAAATATACATCTTCATTAATTTTTCACAAAAATAAAACAACATTCAAACGCCTCGTTTTGTAAATTTTTTTTGCAAACATGAAAAATAAAGGCTATCAAAATTCACGGTAATTAATTTTTAGATAATCCCCATTTCCCGTAGAACGCACATAATTTATCTAAGCAAAACACTTCAATGAACTTGAAATATCTTCAGGACGCATTGTGCCGTTTACAGCGCGAACACGGTTTGATGCACTTAACTCTTTAGCACAGAAATACAAAGCATGCGATTCCTAGTGTATTGATTTTTCAAGGTGTTCCATTTACTTCCAGTGTCTTCAAAGCAATTCGTCATTTCAATTCTCTTAAAGAATTGTATTGGCTGTTTTGAGGCATGCCATGGAGTTCAATAAAACTGAGAAACCATTGCCATCTGCTGTTAGCTTTGCCAATACAGGTGCCTGCGTCTATGTGCGTTCGAAGTCAACTCGTTCTCTTGGTTTCCAGAAATCCTGGCAACGTGTTCCTTGTTTCCTTTGTAAATATTACAACAGTTTGGCAAATGAGTATATACATGTAGTTTTACCTGTGAGTGTGAGAATATACGTGTATGTATATGCATTCAGTGGACTAGATCTCCAAGAACCATTGTCAATTTTGAATAAATGCCCTTTTCATCTTATCCTTCCCATTGGCCATGACTAGTAAGCCTATTTCTAGGCCAGTACACGTAGAAGAAAGGGGAAAGAAAAAATACAGTAGGCGAAGTGAAGCCGTTACCTGGTGATGTGAAAACTATATGCATTAAAGTCAGGCTTTTTAACATGATCTTAACATCTATTAGAAAACAGCCTCTGTACTGTGCAAGAGACATCAATCAATACAGAATTATTTTAGACTTCTCTTTATCTAATTCGATGACTTTTTCATCATTAGTACGTTGCTTATTCAACACCTCTGCAATCACAGTGGTTTTGATTGATACTGAGTATACGTGGCTATAATAGGAGACAAGAGCCATTAGCTTACATGAATACAAATTAACATGTCCTTTTTCTGTTCTATATTCCAAAGTATACACATCCTCACGCTGTGGATTGACTCGCCCATAAGCTTTAATACGGTAATAATTCAAAGTGCCCTGAGTGGGATAACCCAGGCCATTAGAGATGTGAGTCACCATTCGTTATGAAGTCACCGCTAACATAAAGACAGTCATTGAGACGTTGTCTTTTATTTTAATTTCAATTTGCTAAGTTCTAGACGTTTCTGTGTTAACTGTGTGTCATTGCGCACTTATTCAGTCAACAAAGACGTCTTTGTACCCGGGGAAATAAGGCATGTACTACTCCGAGTACGGGCCTCTAATGACACAAATAAAGCATCTATTACTTCTAGTGCTGCGCTCAAATTACACAAATATGAATTAGTGAAAGTAAGCGTCTCACAAACGACGAGACAAGTTGACAAATTTTAATGTCTATAAAAGTCCAATAAACGGTAAAGCCAATTTAAAGAAATTATCTTAAACTGTAACATTGTGTAAAGTTAAGATAATGAACGTTAAGTGCAATATGCATGTATACCTCTGCGTTCCTTTTTAAAATCTTAAAAGATAACAATTAAACTCTAAGACTTGAAGTCACCATTTGTCAAATAGGTAGCCAACGAAGATGGTACAGGATTGGTGTAATGTACGCCGGCCTATTTGCCTTGCATAAGAATCTAGCACATGCTTTTTAAACGGACTTGAGTTTTTATGGTAGTCTGGAATGCCAACAAGTAGACTGTTACAGTAGTCAAGGCGAGAACAGTTTTGATCTATTTTCGCCACCAGCCGCGATCACAAGTATTAATTTGGTTAGAATATTTAATAATAATTATAAGTTTATTGAGCACTAAATTATATGAATACATTAGCAGGCTCACTAGACTACATTATATACATAATATATAAGGATATACATTTATATATGTTTACATATGTAGAATAATAAATTACAATTGTTAATGTTATACTATAAAATTAATTAATTATATTATTATTTGAGTGGGGGTTAAGATAAGACTGTTCTGCACTTGCCAATGTAAATCGATTTTTTGCTTTCGCCAAATTCTGAATAGATTATTCAATATTGTGTGCAACCTCTAGATTTTATGAATTGGCATTGCACTTAGACAAAATCATTGGTTTTATATTGGCATTTTGATCTACGCAAATGTTTAAAGTAAAAACACGGTTTCCGCCAGCTACTAACGGTCTATCGCATTGAGGCCAAGCTAAATATTCCAATATACTTTGATTAGTTATCAAATCTGATCACAATTCTCATATATTCTATGGGAAGTTGCTCATTTATCTGTTTATACTTTCCATGTTTTAATACTTCTAATACATACTACTGTTCAATTTTGTTTAAAATCGATATGCTCAATGACCCATGAATTATTCCGTTGACATCCTGTGCGAGTTTACAGATAACTACACAGATATCCCGACACTTACAGTCAAATTACATCGATCATTTTCCAGACTATTATTTCAAAGAAAATATCCCAAAGGATGGTAGCCAGTGAAGGTCAGATAACACAACACCTCAAGAGAATCATACAATCGCCGTAATTAATGTCCGCTGCCAGTGGTGTGGCCTTTGTTTCAAATATCCTCGACAAGGGGTCAGTTATGGCCACAAGGCGGTCAAGTGGTCAATTTTGTAATGTTTTCTGTAATCCGCCTTTGTTTTACTATCATGCACATTAAGCCCAGAACCATACCAAACAGGCGCTCATCTCAGACTAAATTGCCGCGCGGTTACTTCCCGTACCCCATGTAATAGTAAAAGAACAGTCTGCTGACCGAGACATATTGATCCCCCAGTAATCCCCCTAGAAATCCCAGTAATCAGATACACGCTGAGGAAAGAACTAGAAAATAGCCAGATCAAAGGTAGGGGGGCTCCAGCTATCATGTTTGACCGATTGGTCCTTTGTGAGCTCTGATTGCAGTGGATATTTCTCTTTTGATGTTAATATATTTAGTGAAACATTTGAAACAAAATGGTTAGACAGCGGGTAGACAAAGAGGAGCATCGTTTACATTGGTGGTGTTTACAGTGAAGAGAGTTAATACAATGACGGAAGGCGGACTAGTGTATTCATGCAACTGATGCATCAGCAATCATTTTTACTTGTAAGCCAACAATGGCATTGCTGCGTTGAAATAGGCTTTGCATTTTCTCTTGTGTAATGATAATAAAAATAAATCGCTTCTAAAGAATCTTTATTTTTTTTATTCAGTTGTGCGTCAGTCATGTGATCACTCGTGCCACGCTTTCTCTCTTTAAAAACGATCTCCTTATTATTAATATCATAGTTATTCCTATCCACTCTTTCCACGTGCATTTGGATAACCACAGCCGCACACGCGCATGCACGCTCAATACACCGTTTATTACTAACATACTTTTGTAGTGGCTCTGTGTCACGCTCACATGTGAACATTGGATAGGTTTATCAGCTGACTGTCAGTCAAAGTTAAAACGTCATAAACCGTCCGGGTTTGTATGTACAATAAACGTCACTTTACCCTAGCATTACGTCATGTTGATCGATCACCACGTGAGCTTGATGGCATGAGCATGTGCTCTTTAAAACCTTGGTGCTGACACTGCACCCCGTGTGTGAAGGGCAGACATGACTCAGAGCTACAACTTTGAAATCAGTCCCCATAGAATATGTGTCAACATGCATTTCTCTAGCGTATGTCTACATGCATAATTTAGCTCTGGCTTCCCTTTCCAAACAAGAATACTGCATGGTGGAGGATTATATGAGCCTTCCTGAAGGCTGGCAAAGGAATGAGAGGAGTCTGTGAGTTGACATCCAGGTTCCAGAGAGTCCGACATGTACGTGCCCCAGCGGGAGACTGCCATGGGTTGAATTGACACTGTTGAAATACATAAGTTTTATTGGCCCAATTAAACCATTAGTGAAAATGCGTAAATATCACTAGTGGGTGCCAGGCAAATTAAATGGGTGTGCCATAGCGTCGGTGTTTAGCATTTTGGAGAATAAATCATACCGCCCTAAGAGACCGAAATAAGTTAGTTTAAATCCTGGTATTTCAATTAACCCACTATATTCATTAAATGAACAATTAACCAGATTACTCCGTATGTATATGAGAACACGTGGACGCTTCCCAAGTTGTAAACGGCGCCAGTCAAAACTGAGTCACTTACTGACAAGACATGGTGGGGTTCTGATACTTATCAAATACATTCTTGGGGAACTGGAATATGTTTACTTCCAGTATGTAGGAAGTATACAGATAATGTGTCGTTTTGCAACCGCGTTTGTCAGAAAAACGCTAATTGTAATATTGACTATTTTCATTACACAAAGAGAATCAAGCATCAGCCCTGGTCGTGAAGTGCTGGACACAGTTGTCTGGCAGTCTATCCACAGTTCATGTGTGCACATCCTAGGGATAACTCAGGGGAATGCTTGCCTTGCACATGCTGTGTTTTAAACAAAAGGCTACCTGATAAAGAATGCAAGTGACGAAATACTGATGCAATATTAAAGCAAATTCTTTATAAGATTATTGATTCGGAGATTTGTAATTGAAATAATGAAAACCGAAAACAAAAAATATAAATAAATGTATTCTAAATACTCGAGCCCGCCGTCCACCCGCTTACGTTACAGCACAGGTCACAGCTGACCGTCCTCCAGCGCCACACCGAGCTAGTCACTGTACCAAATCAGTATTATGGTGCATTCCCAGAGATTTAGATCGATCCAGGGATTAAGATTTAGATCGACCTAACTCCCTGGGGGTTCACGCTAAATTGCAGTCAGCCGAGCGCGCACCATAGATAATTACCCCTTTACAGCTTTTAGTAGGCGGAACAGACGCTTA